TTTATAAATAAAGACTTGAAGAATAATAACAGAAAACAATATCTGGAGAGTAAATTATAAAGAGAAAGAAATGGCCCGTTACAGCCTCACCATTTCTCCAATATGTCCTGGAAATCACACATCCTTAATATAGCTAAAGCTGCCTCCCAAAAATTGGGAATGCTGTACAGATGCCGTAGCTCCTTCACTACTGAGCAGTTGCTCCACGTATATAAGAGATTCATTTGTCCTAACTTGGAGTACTGTTCTCATATCTGGGGTGGCTCTTCTGTCCAACTGTTAGTTAGGGTGGATTCAAAGGCATTTCGTCTTATTAACTCTCCTCCTTTAGTCGAAAATCTCTCTTCCCTTTCTCTTCACCGCAATGTAGCTTCACTCTCTCTCTTTTACAGGTACTTTAACGGGCAATGTTCGGTGGATTTGACATCCTGTGTACCGCCGGCAAGGCCGTGGGCCCATAACAAACGTCATGCCCGCAGTACCCACCGTTTCTCTGTGGATGTCGGTCACACGAGAATAACTCGTTAAAAGTACCTCCTTCTTTCCTCACACAGCCAAACTGTGGAATGCTCTGCCTCCTTCTGTGTTTCCATACTTATACAATCTGTCTCACTTTACAAAGCTGGTTTTCCGGCATCTCCATGGTGTTGATTAACACAGTGTACAGTGTAACCTTTTTCTTCTCTATTTTCAGTTTCCTTCTGTTCCTATTTCCCCCACCCCCCCAACAGGCCCCGTTGTGGGTCATTTGACCTGTGCCCGAGTGGGCTAATTCCAGTAGAAAAAACCCAGAATAAAGTACTGTACCCTGTACAGTATTTAATAAGAGGCAACAACTTTTTAGGTCAATTGATAGTATCACACCGGACTTTATTTTTATATTAAAAATTGCTTTTTCCCTTTGGTTTTTGATGAGTTTCGAATGAATTTGACATCCGTTTCCTCCGGAAATCACTTCTTTTTTTTGTTTTTGTTTTTTTAGATACCCCCTCCCCAACAATCATAGCGGAAAAAGTTGGATTTTCTTTCTTTTTTGAATAAATCAAATAAATAAAATACTAACCAACCAACAAAACCTAACCTAACCCTCCATTCTTCATGCCCCCACATCTTACCTTAATCTGTAAAACTATTGTGACACCACCAAACATGCTGTTCTTCGGGCAGTGTACACTGGTTATTACACTTTGGACAAAGAACTATATTCGGTAATACATGTACACCGCATTTTCTAAAAAAAAGAAATTGCCTCACTATTTTTCTGGTGTAACTCTGCAAAGGGAGCAAAATAATCATTCTCACAATGTCGGCACAGCTCGTCCAACTCAAATCTCAGCTCCTGACCCACCCACTCATTGTTCAGAGGCTATAAAAAAAAAAAAATCTTGCCCAATTAAAATACTCCTATCGCTATAGCCAATAAGAAACTTCCACTTCACCAGTCCCCCACATGCGCTGTAGACGCTTAAGAAGCGAACATGGAGGTCTGGAGCGATGCGTGAGTGGGTGTCAGACATACTCCACCAGATGTAAACAGGACATGGCGACACTTGTGAATGAGCAAAAGTAATAATATTGAAAAATTAATATCTCGGTTATCCTTAATTTCCGCTGGAAATATCATAGAAGTGTCTAAACATTATGAAACACATATTAATAACAACAAAATAAAGTCCGGAGTAAAATTATAAATTCACCACTTTTTATACTGTTACTGTACTGTATTTTTTTTTTTTTTTAATTTATCGTTTTTATACATTTAGTACATTCACTGTAGGCTGAAGTAGCATTCATAATTTTTGCATTATTATTGAAAAATTAAACAATAACCATGACCCCGAGGAAAGTGTTTGGTATACATAAGGGTGATGAGATGGTGAACCCTAAGACCATATCAGTGAACTAAAAGTAAGAATACAGTACTGTACTTTACGTACGTTACTTTTTCAAATTAATTTTAATTAAAAAACATGTATTTCTTCCATAAAACTTAGATACATTGGTGTTGTTGTAATGACCACGGTCGTACACGTCAGTTAACGCCAAAATCAAATGATTCATATTACGCTCAATAGCCCACAAAACATGTACCTCTACTTTTATTTTGAGTCCTCCACCTGAGGAGTCCGTTTTCTCAACACTTCAAGACGCCTCAGTCCTCCGTTATCCCATTTTCTCTGACTTACTGAAACCAACCTCTCTATATAATGAATTTGAATGTGAGAGAGAACACCTTTGTTTTGAGTCAACTTAGATATGTCTGTTTACAGTTGGAACATTCAAGATCCATTGTGAGTGGTGTTGAACGCTTCAACTGTCCTTATTGTTAGTAAGACGTGTCAAGTAAGCGAGTGTTGAGTTTGCCAGTTAGAGTGGCGTATTTTAGGTCGTCCGTGGGGATAACCATGGGTTTCTGATCGCTACTGAAGTTATATTGTTTTGTCGCCCCGACATCAGAGAATCTGATGTTCATAGTTTAGTTAGTGTCAGTTGTCTATTTAAGAAAGTTATTGATCTTCTGAACAGTTCCTGTCAAACTCAAAATTCTCCAAGATTTAACGGCCGTTTGACCGGGGATGTGGTTTGCGGGCAGGTCAATAGAGTTGCGAACGCATATATAACTTCAATTCACCTCATTACTGACAAACTCAATCTCTGATTAAATCATAAACATAGATGTAGAAAATTAGCCTGATCTGTGACACTGACGGTCACAGCTAGGTGTCCAACGACTACTGTGAATAGAGGGTATATTGTTAGTGAAATTAGTCTTTCTAGTAGGAATATGCCCTCAGGCCCGTATATATGCAGGCGCGCGAGGAAAAATTACTCCCTCTGTGATTTCTCCTCCACGTCTACAGGTATGTTCACGTGTGTTCCACGCCGCTATATTAACTCAGTTTAACTTAGTCATTTTTGCGAATATCAGTGTTCATGTTTTAACATAGTACTTTCAGTGCCAATTAAGTCAAGTAAAGTAGAGCTCTAGCTATCGTCTGAACCGGTGCCAGACGTATGTTTTGTATAGTGAAGTTAAATATTCACTCCCTCTGTGATTTCTCCTCCACGTCTACAGACGCTGTTGTGGGGGTTAGCAACACTCCTGAGGTTCGGGAGCCGCCTATGGGCACGATGTCTCTCGAAAGACGTCTTTAAGGTGGCGAGATTAGAATCCCAGGGCGAGATTCCTTGGCAGACGCCACGGCCCACCGCCACGAGTCAACTTTTCCCGGGCCAGGCGCTCCGAGCTAGCGAGCGAGCCTGTAAACAACTCTGGCCCACTGAATCCGTCATATGATCATGGTCTATCTACTGTTCTTGGTTATATGTATGGAGCCGGATTAATATCCATGCTTAGGGATGACTAGCAGAAATATAGTCATCCCAGGTTAAGTATTGAACCCCTGAATGAGAGTTCAAGGTACCAGGTGGTTCCTTGTGAAATGATAAGAAGTATGGTATGTTACTAATTGTGGAACTGCCCAGTGTGTTATGTATTCAGCTGTAGTACCCATGAAAGAATAACCTGAGAGTATCATGCTCTAATCAAGAAGTGGAGAGGTAATTTGTTACTTGTTAAAGTAAGACCTGAGGGTCCAGTGATGGCTTGTGAATAATAGTACGGAATCTCATGTATCAAGGTAATGATATCCCAATTGTCTAATAAAGTAATGAGTATTTGGAGGTGTTGAATGAGGTAATAAGCTCTTGAAGTGTTTGATGATTTAATAAGTTAAATGCGGTTCTGTTTAGCCTGAGTGAATTTAAGATGCATCTTCTCCACTCACTTGTTAATAAATATTGAATTAGTAAACTACGAGTATCACCACTCTACTCCTTCTACACATTGGTTCCCAGAAAATAATACTTACTCACGTGCCTAGACATCTACCACACTACCCAACAACTTTCCATGAGTTAGGTTATATAATGAAAAGTCTGGGTGGTGGCAGCTACCCTTTGTAAGTATAAAAAGTGTTGTACAAGGATAACATGGTTCCCCAGACTAACCCATGTATAAGAAAGACATAAAACAAAGTATACTTCCGAAAGGTAAGAACATTGAAACTGAGAATATAATATATATATATGAAAGGAAATGACAAGGAAGAACATTGACTTGGAAAACATAAGCAGAGAAGCATAAGAGTTACTTATATAAGAATATATAAGAATATAAGGTATATAGAGATAAAGAACATATCAGAATATGAGCAAGAATACATAAGAATAAGAATACATAAGTATATATATATATATATATATATATATATATATATATATATATGTAAAGAATTGAAGAAGGATAAGTATATAAAACAGGGTACTCATTGGAAAGAGTACTACACAGAACATATAAGTATATGAATAAATAGAATACTAACAGAAAAGAATAGCTGGATGGTAAATTATTGAAAAGAGAAAACTTGGCCCGTTACATTGTGCTCTTTTTTTGTTTAAAATGGCGATCTTTTTGGAAAAATTTGATCTAAGGTGGACAACCTCTTATACCGGACACCCCTTCCCCCCAATTAGTCCGCCTTAGTGAGGTTTTACCATACAGCTCCTCCCTGACTTACAACCTACCCGACTTACGACCACCCGCACTTATGACTTGCCTCAGTCGTACCAAAATTTTGTCAAATTAAGTATTTTCGAGTCCCAACGTCAGTACACAGAAAAATTTTTTGTTTGTAATTCACTTTACAAGGGCTAGCAAGCATAAAAGTGAGAGTTTTGTGGTGCTGAGAAGAGAAAAGAGACCCATTTTAGATTTTCTATGTATTATTTAAGCATTTTCGACTTACGACCATTTCGACTTACGACCTGGATTTGTTTCCCTAACCCCGTCGTAAGTCGGGGAGGAGCTGTATTAGCTTTATATGAGAGAAACTATTTAGCCTAATCTGAAGGATACAAATTACTGTTTAAAACATATAAAGCACCTGTGCAGTACATTACATTATAAAAAAAAACTAATGCTTGGAAATACTTCTTACCTGTCCTAAAGATTATCACAGTCCTTCCAAGGCGGTCAGGTGTTGGGAGAACAGTTTGCATCTGCAGAGGCCACACATGCTCCAGTGCAGAAGGGTATAATTCAATGTACATATCAGCATTCTCCTGTCGTGCTCGATAATAACTGCGTATCTGGAATGTAAATGCTGTTCTGTATTTGTCCTGCTCCACTGCAATGCAACTCTACATCACATCATTACCCAAATTTCCTACATTGTGCTGCAGATAGGTTATTCCACTAACCCATGAGATGACTGGTAAAGCGGAACCCAGTTTAAAACTAGTAGGTGCCTGGCCAAATAGACCACAGGCCATATAAAAGCCAGTCCTACTATGCCTCAACTTTAAGTACTGTCTTAATACTGGGGCCAAATACCGTACTAGTGGATACCTCTCTTAATGTCAGGTCAAGTATGGACCATCTGATCCGTAACTTCATTTATAGTAGAGTACAGTAGTCCCCTTAACGATTTGTTTTTCATCTTACATATCTTATACTTCAGGATCATGATTTCTTTTAATTATACAATACTGAAGAAAAATATATTATCAATATTAAGGTGCACAGTGTGTTTAACCACTCTAGGAAAGTTTTTAAATTTTTAATTATTCGTTCAAGTCTTTTCCTCTTATGGGGTAAAGTGGTCAGACAGGTGTTGAGCTCCTGATTCTTAGTATTCAGCAGCAAGAAATTAGTCCACTGCAGAGATGTTCCAACTATAGCAAGAATATCAGAGTGAATGATTTTCAGATTTGGGATAAAACCCATTTTTGAGACATGTATGATTCTGGACCTTTTTTTTCACTTTTACAATACAGTACCATCCTTGGTATAAGGCAGGGTGGCTGGGTATGCACTAATTCCCCGATTCTTTGCATTCTGTAGTTATTAGGTTACCCTTAATCCCTTGATAGGATGCTAGCTTTCCATAACTGGTAAGCACACCTCACAAGTGTACAGTACAATACTTCTTATACTACCATACTAAATGTGCAAGGGGGTTTGTGTACAGAGAGAGAAACCAATCCTTCACTTACCATGACTGCTATGCAAGAATCCTATTAAGGTAGGTCTTCTTATCTATACTAATGAAGTGTATACACTGGGAAATAATGGGAAACTCAAATACGAATATCTTATCATAAGATTGGCCCTTTACATCAATTTTCTATTGCCCTGCCATATATTTTTTCCCACTACAGTGCAGGGTAACCAGAATCATGGGCAACAATACTACTTCATTTACTAGCAATTATTCTCTCTAACTGCCACAACATATATGTTCTCCTATGGTGTTCATGTTCCTCAAAGGACCTAAAACCTCATTAGGTAGATCTATCTAATTAACAGGGTGTCTCATTATGCCTGCACCATAGGAAGATTAATGTTCTTCTCTTTCATTCTTTTACAGTGAAGGTTGGGGTGATGAGAGCAACTGAATGGCCATAGATATCCTGTTTTTTCCTGAACAGACAGCTCTAACCTATGTGTAGTAAACACCTTATCTTTATTATTATATTTTTCAGGGGCCATCATGTTTTCCCAAATATTGTTTATAACCAATGTTTTTTTTTAAGGATATATATGATAATTTATCCTGTAACCCAGCAGGACTCTACTTACTACAGTAGTGTATGATGCCCCATGAGTCAGTGGATATGGGTATAAAGATTAGTTCCAGCTTGCCAAGTCATTTAATTCATTGCTACTGCTTAGCTTAATAAAAAGAAAAAATAACTTTTTCATGACATGAAAGTTACTAGAACACCACCACACGATACTTAGTACTGACTAGAACAAAATAAATGTAAATTGATCCCTCTCACTCACCATAGCCATTGCCTTATCATAGTCAAACTTCCGTGCTCTCAAGAAAGCAAGCAGGAATGGCTTGTCTAGGCGTGAGCGTAATCCTGGCTCTGCTTCAACCATCTCCCTGTGAACCAAATCATCAGATTAATATCTACTTGTTACTGCACTTACAGATAAACTATTTTTCTACACAGATTCATTCACAAATAATTCAAGTTTTAACACAATAAATTGCACAATGCTTAATAGTCTATACCAGGGGTCACCAAACTTTTTTCACAGTGGGCCGGATAACTGAAAGAATGACGAGCGCGGGCCGCATAATCATTCTGTTCAATACTTGCAAGCCAGAACGAAAGCTCTGGTAACGTCAGAGCGTAGGCGGAGCTACCACGAGCCGGGGAAGGACTTGGGATCCGGCCCGCGGGCCGTAGTTTGGTGACCCCTGGTCTATACCTTCCTTCAAATATGAAATGTTGCCTTTAAAATAATGTAAATAAAGTTGGGTATTACCAAAATGTATTTCAAGAGGTAACTTAAATAAAGAGTAAAACCATCTGAAGATATTCAATCATTGTGAATCACTAAAACAGCAAACAAAAATATTATGTACAGCAGCTAAAACAACTAGCCGTGTATATTTTGTGGGAAAGAATATGAGACCATGGACGATAAATATTGGTATACGAAGTGCTGTCACTAGTCACACGTAAAATTTTGGAGCATATCGACCCCCACCTTCACAGATAGTTGTTTTAGCTACTGTACGACCTAATACTGTACAGCCTTTTCATCACACATGTTGGGATCCCTGATGGATATAACTTCTCTTTAAAGAATATAATCTCCCTCACATAACTGGAGTTTATTAAATACAGTAATTCTAACCCCTCGGAGTTATTGTTGATGAGAAACTTAACTGGAGAAACCACATACAAGCCATTCACAGTAAAATCAATAAACAGTGTGGCATCATGTATCACACTCGACATTCACTCACTCTTACAGCAATGAAAGAAATCTATCATGATCTTGTTTACCAACACCTGATACACTGTCACACACTATGGGGGACCTCTGGCTCTTCAAAAACACAATCTCTGGTTACTGCACAAAAGAGAGTTGTACGGACAATGACCTACTTGAATAAAAAACAGATCACACAATCGAAAAATTTGCTATATTGAAATTTTTAAAATTCGAGGATATTAACACTTACTGCTGTGCCCTCTTTGTTTACAATTCTATCAATCACTTGCTTGACAATAATTATTTCCAGTTTCGGAATAATCAGAGATACAACTTAAGGCACCCAGAGCTACTAAGACCACCCCCCATGTGCTCCTCTCAGTCCCAGACCTCCATAAAATATCATGGTATGAAGGTGTGGAACAACTTACCCCCACACATCCGAGCAAAGACTACGCTTCCTTCCTTTAAATCATCTCTAAAAAAATATCTATTGTCGAAGTATTAATATTTCTTGTAACACTTACTATATTTACAGTACCTGCTTTTATTGTACCATCAAAACCGTTTTATCGGAAATTATCATGTAAATAGTTAAGTAATTACCATTGCAATAAACATAATTGCCAACTAGACATAATCCTGAAAGCTCTGTCCTCTTGTTCAACCTTATTACTGTACAACCCATGTTGTACTGCTCCCCCATTACCGGTATACTTATGTTTTTCAATTCCACTGTAATTTATATGTACAGGGAGTATACGTGTATGTGTATGTATGTGTGTGTATATGTATATTTATGTGTATATATGTAAATGTATGTATGTATAAATTAATAAATAAATAAAAATAAATAAATAAATAAATAAATAAAAAATAAAAATAATAAAATAAATAAATATTGAAGTGATAACCGTGGTAACATTATGAGATGTTCTTATTACCACCATGCTATTGCACTATTCCAGATGATACTAAATGCTACATAATACTTCCTTGAGATAAATGCATAGTATATATCAGGTGCCTCAAAGAGAGCTCAGGTTCTCAACTGGCTCAGCCATGTTAATATATTGTTATTATTATCCACTCTGTATCTGTATTTTTCTGACTAAATAAAATGTTTCAAATCAATTTGCTTTATACCTGTAGTAGGAAAGGGGCAAATGAAACTTAAAAGAAACAATATGAAAACTCAAATGATAACTATACACACACTCCAGTAAAGTATTTAAATGAACATTCTCAAAATTAAATCCTTAACATTATCAATTCTCAGTTACCGTAAGTGAACTGATTTTTCAAGAAGGAATGTTTACAGGGGAGCAAGAACCCAACTAACTCAGCTCAGTTATTATCTATAAAGTTAGAGGACTGATCATGAATTCCTATTAGCAATTGAGGAGGGACTGCTCAACTTTACAGTGGACCCTTGTGGGGCAGGCATCTGCCAGCTCCAGCTTTGGAAACTCGTCAAGTAGTGTCCTCTTGAGATATTTATAAACTCCAATTAGGTCACCCCTTGCCATCTAGAGTATAAAATAAGCAGTTGCAGTCATTCTAATTTCTCTGGATAACTCAGGTGCCATATCTCGGGGACCAGACGGGGTGACAACACAATACTCCAAGCCGGGAAGCACCTCACTCCTGAATAGCGTAACGAGGGATGAACCATCTAGATATTTCAAAGACCTTCTTATAAGACCTACTAGTTTAGTTGCTTGATTCACCTTCTTCTCACAATGCCCGAGAACTTCAGATCATTGTCAACTTACACACACAGGTCCTTTTCACATTTGGTCTCTTAGTGCTGTTTCTTTACTTTTATCCTCTTCACCACTGATCGGCTCGTTAACCGCTTGGGCGATCAGTCACGTCTCTGTTACTTTTCTTTTTCTTTTATCCTCTTCACCAACTGATCGGCTTGTTAGCTGCTTGGGCGATCGGTCACATCTCTGTTACTTTTCTTTTTCTTTTATCCTCTTCACCAACTGATCGGCTCGTTAGCAGCTTGGGTGATCGGTCACGTCTCGGTTACGCACTGTTGGCAAGTACTGGGCATGCACCGGCTCCTGAATATACCGTTGGGACATGTGATACGCCTCCTTATTGTTGGTACGATTGAATCTAAACAGCCATTACCTCAAGCACTCTTGAAGCTGACAGAAATATTTCTACAGCACTTCACAGTCTGTTTGGTTCTTAATTTCTCTGAATGTGACATTGTCTGCAAACATTTGTATGTAGGAGTGTATAGCTTCTGGCATGTCTTTTATGAAACAAGCAAACAACAACAGGCCCAGTATGTTATCCAATATGACCCTACCTAATACCGGAGGTTTTCACCAGACATTCAGGTTTTCTCTAGTGCTAACACTGGACAATGTAGGTTGTAGCAAACTTGTCTGCCCAACTGGCTAGTAAGCTGACAAGTGGAGATAATGATAAATTAACCCTTAATCTTTACCACTGTAACTATAAATCCCACTCAACACACTCTGGTGTTTGGTAGAAGGAACAGTAGTCTTCAGATTCATAGATCCCTGTGAACAACTTTAGTTTACCAAGAAAGATTACTCACCTTAGTGCTTGTACATCCCGGTCAACCCACTCTGGTTTTTCGTGGAGGTCCCACTCTGCTTCAGCAGCCAATTCTTGTGGAAGAGCCCCATCTTCAACTTCAGACACAACCCTCCTGTCCACCCTCAGTGCTGCCTGTACTGCAGCATCCACTTCCTCGCAAGTGGATACTTCTTCCTCTCTTTGTTCCACTACCTCACTTGTTCCTTTTATTGTTTCCAATTCATTTGTAACATCTGTAGTTTTTGTCGTCTCTTCTTTATCTTTAATGTCTACCTCCACTGTGGCCCCAGGTTTTAATTTTTTTTCCTCTGCTTTCTGAGAATCCTGAAAGACGTCAAGGTATCAAATGTCTACAGGTGGACATTAGGATGGGATAAAAATAAAGTGAATTATACAAGTTATACAAGGTTGACTTTTAAGAATAAGTATACAATTCACCCCAAAGCATAATTCCTATAATTCTCCCACTGTAGGCATCCCATTATCAATTACTGCTCCTCCCCGACTTACGACGGGGTTAGGGACCCAAATCCAGGTCATAAGTCGAAAATGCTTAAAAAATACACAGAAAATCTAAAATGGGTGTCTATTTTTCTACTCAGCACCACAAAACTCTCACTTTTAAGATTGCCAGACATTTTAAAGTGAATTACAAACGAAAATTTTGTCTGTACTGACGTTGGGGCTCGAAAATACGTAATTTGACAAAATTTTGGTACGACTGAGGCAGGTTGTAAGTGCGGGTAGTCGTAAGTTGGGGAGGAGCTGTACACTACTGTATATTTTTATTCAATGACATTTCACACTTTAAAAAATTTCACTGACAATATTTACACATTTCAAATTACTACCGGTAATATTCAATAGTTTAGTGACATGCAAGAACTCAAGTACTGTATTGTGGTGTGTCTTCCAAAGATCACACAAATAATTATCTCTTACTTCAGTATTGATTTTATACTTCCTTCTCATTCAGGGAACCTAAAAAATTTTATTTAACATTAGTACAGCAATATGAGATCAATAGGATTTTGTAAACATCTAATAAATATAACCTTAAGACATATGTTTCCAAAAGAGCCAGTTATCATGTACCAGACTCAAGCTAAATGCTGTTTGCAAATGGTCCATGGTCAGGGTCACAGCCAAAAGCCAATTCAAGGCTCACGGCAAACAATGTTACAGAAGAGCTTTTTGAATGAAGTTCTAGTTCACAAATCAATCTATTGCTTCATGAGTGCAAACAAATTCTACCTCTTTGTCATTGGAGTGTTGATCAAGTGGTCCCTGTAAGCTCTGGGGTGCTGGGTGGACAGCAGCCATCCCAGCCTCTTCTCGAGTCTCCACCATCTCTGCTGCCTCGTCACACAATCCCTACGTTGAGATGCCGGGACACCAACCCAGACCTGTTGCCTCTCTGTAAAAGAAAATCAGTACATTACATCCATAACTTGTATTTCTTTTTTTTTCACTTAGGATAGCACCAATACCTATAACAATTTCAAATTATGTGAATATTTTACATAAAATCCTCTGAATTGTAATTAATGCACAGTTCAGTATCTCAAAAAGTATCTGTCCACACTGTATGAACATTATGAGACCATAGATGATAGGTATTAAGATATGCACATTCCTGCCCTGTATAGTTTAACATAAGTAATGCAATGTGTATCGATTTCAGCTTTAATTAATGTGATGTTCAGTTACCAAATGTAGTAGGATCAGTATACCACAGAGCCACACATACCAACCCTCCCGGGACATTGCGAGTTGCAGGTTGCATTTTGGAAGTCATCGAACCTATACTGGCAGATACTATTTGAGATACTGTTCATAATGCATAACAATTATTGGGAAAACATTTTCAATTTACAGCTGCTTAACAATTAATTCTTTTCTATAAAATAAAATATTTTCAGGGAGAGATCAGAGAAGTGTCATTGTCAATTCTCTTCACTGATACATCCCCTTGCTATAGAGGTGCTGTCAGTAATGTTACATGGGCCTACACATATCACATTGTGTCCAGTTGTCAGTATGGAATGATGTTGAAAAAAAAAAAGGCCAAATATATTCTTATATTCTTTAACAGGTAAAATGCATCTGATGGTTTTGTTGGCTATCCTTGGTCGAATTGCCTTACTGTTTACCATTGTTTGTTTTCCTCCAGCCTTACAATGTATACCTTGCATGGTCTATGTATACAGTATGCCTGCATTGGTCTTCATACGTGCTAGAATTGTATATCGGGGTAGGTGAGTGTATGCAAAATAACACAACCACACACTTTACAACAGACTACAGCAAATACAACACAGCCACACATTACAACAGTCTACAACATAACACAACCCCTCCAAACATCATCTTGAGGTAAACATATTATCTCCTTAAACTAACGCAATACTGTACTAATCAAACGCCATCTGAACCACTTCATTAAGATAGCCTATCACCTGGTGCTTGAGGGCTATACAAAAATGAATGAGTTGACGGTCGGAGTTTTTTTCTGAAGATGGCAGGTCAATGGGTAAAGAAAACGGTTAAATTCACAATAGTAATGATATTTCTTAATAAATTGGGCCAAAAAGTGTCAAAAATAAGGGTTAAAGTTGCTAAAAAAAAGTCACGTGACTGCGAAAAGCTGTGATTGGTTGTGACGTCACTGGTTGTCCAACCTTCTCGGGTGATCGGCTCAGTAAATTAATACTGTTAGAAAATTAATTGTGATTTATTGTGCAACACAGTAATATTATTTTGAATATATAAATATTAGTAAGCACATAAACTAATTCAATGGATATTAGCTGCCCATGCAATAAATTTCACAAACATTCCAAACAATATTGATATTACTGCATTTTGGTTTTAGTCTGGGGAACCTTAAGATTCTAACTATCTCTACAGGATTTCTGCTGCAAAACATTTTTTGATCGCAAAAGAAAATACAGATCATAGGTTAGGTTAAGTTAGGTTGGTTATGGTATGATGAGTTAAAGGTTAGCTTAACATACATCGGTAAAGGGTGGGGGGGTAGTAACTCAAAACTAGTGACTTCCGATAGAAATGAAGGTCAAAATCGCAAACCATCAGAAATAATCATAGGTCTACAGGTCTATGTACAGGGATGACCAAAACTTAAAATGTACCCAATATAACCTCTTGAATCTAAACATCCAAGCACTCATGGTAGTTAAAGTAAATTGGTATTATTACGTTTACACACCGTTCATTCCTACCACTAATCTATTATCATATTCGAATAAGACATCTAATTATAAGATAATTTTCATATATTACATTACCGGCGGAAATGTATAATAACGGAGATAGCTTTTCCAAAAAAATTTCTATTTTCTTCTATTAACCTGCCATTATCGGCTGCCTCTCACCCAACACTGCGTGTCTCTCGCGTCTCCTTCATAAATCATTACACGCATGCACACCCGTACACGTCACGCAGCCAATCAAAAACGTTTTTGCTTTTGGAACCAATTAAAATGATTTTGGGTTTAATTCAGAGTATATTTGGCTCAATCAAAATCAAGTTTTATTTTGGCTCTCATATTTTGAAATTCAAGTTCAGTTCCAACCATGGAAGTCTGCGATGGATGTCACTTAAAGTATATGGAGCTGATTGCGAGTTTTTGGAAATAAAAAAGTAGAAACTATAGCATTTTTTCGTTCGCATGGTGTTCTTCCAACCTCAGTAAAGTGTACTAAGAGCAAGACTGAATGTAAATATCGTAAAGACCAACATATGTGGCGTTGTAAGAATCCCAGAATCCAATGACGAACAAGAACCAGGCCAATAAGGTAAGAAATAGGTGATTCCATCATATGGTGAGAGTCAGTTAAGTTAGGTTAGATTAGGTTCGGTCGCTTAGCCACTTTTTGTTTCGGAAAAAGTCAAACAACAAAAAATCGCAAAAAAAAGGCTGATTTCCGCCAAAAATGAAGGTCATATTCGGTCTAAACACACACAAATACACTAGAAAAATATATTTTTTACTTGCTAAAAGTGAACGGTGTGACAATGCAAATTTACCAGTAAAATTTTACCCATTAATTAATATAAATGATGATATATCCGAGTGGCTCATAAGCAATTCATCAAAACAATAACAGCACTATGTTGTCATGTTTACCTAGCACCAGGCATTCTCAAAACAAAGTCCAGACACTGTCACTACTTCTAAATTTACTCGTATCTCCATCTAATACTGATATACTCTGTAAATGCAATGAAAAAATTAGAAAGTCTACCGTAGGAATACAAGACAGCTGAGCTGATGTGAACATGGGAATTTTTTTTTTTTTTGTTAAAAAGAACATTAGAATGTAGGAAACTGTAGTGGGTCTATTGGCCCATACTGGGCAATCCCATTTACACCCAACCCCTATTGCTCATATATCCATCCAACCAGTGGCGTTTAGCCTTGGATTAAGTGGGGGACTTTGGGGCCAAGGTAAATGTTGGGGGGGACAAAACCAAACCTGTGTACAACTTGCATGATAAATTATTCAAGATAATCGTAGAAATGGTACTGTAGTGGATTTCTCCCCTACAAACGCTGTTTATCGCTGCATAGCCGACCCCACGAATTCCCCTGTGTATGCCTCGTGGTCTAGGTCAACCAGCGCCGCCCACGGAGCGGGGGTCAACTACTAAGCCACGCCAACCCCCGCTATTTAAGACCTGACCTCGTGGTGATCTCTCTCTTTCTACCCACACCAACCAGCCAGCAACACCTCCTCCGCCGCTGCCTGGCGGCCCTCGCTCCTCCTCTGCCTGCCTGGCGGTCCTCTCTCCCGCTGGCGAGCATGGCGACCCACAAGCTGTCCTTCTCTGAGCGTCCTCACCAACCAGCTCTCTCTACATCACGCTTGTAACCATGCTGCCTTCCCAGCACCAAGCTGCATTGTACATCCAATACAATATGTATATAGAGAGCACATTGTGAGTTTCCTTTCTCCACCCCATCCTGAGTGTGAACCAAACAACCCATACCCCACAAATGGTGACTCCCGGAGATTCGCACTCACACAGGATAGAGGAGAAACTGATCACGCTCTCAGTCTTCAAGCAACATGGAAGACTGGCTTATCCACACAGAAGAAGCTCTCACCGGCTCTACAACTACTGTTACTACACCGCAGGTTAGACACCCTAGAGCAGCACTGCTTCTCTAAGCACACACCAGCTCCTCTTCCTGCCCCAAGCACCATGTCCTACCGACCCCAGCACACCTGTCCTGCCTCAGACGCCGCCCCCGGCCCAACAGTAACCCCTGCCGCCCCTGATGCGGCCTCTGTTCCTGAGTGCGGACCCACACACCCCTCTTTTCTCCCTCAGGTACTCCCTGCTAATGTCCTGCACCCTGCTGCTGTCGTGGACCCAGCTGCTGTCACGAGCCCTCATCCGCTTCTGCTGACGCAGCCCCTGCTCCTGACCCAGGCCCACACACCCCAGCAGGCGCATCTGACGACTCTGTACCTGCCGTGAGGGAAGCACAACGTTCATCGCCTCCACACACCCTTTTTCTCCCTCTCTTCTCCCACAGATATTGTGTATCTAGACAGTTGTCTCTAGCGACCTGCTCATCCACACCATCGCCGTTGTCTCACATGAGGCATGCACCGCCCGTTCTGCCTCACATGTGCCATGCAACCCTGCAGACAACAAGTCTCCTACACCGCCTGGAGGGAAGAAGGGAGTATTGTAGTGGATTTTTCCCCTACAAACGGCGTTTATCGCTGCATAGCCGACCCCACGAATTCCCCTGTGTATGCCTCGTGGTCTAGGTCAACCAGCGCCGCCCACGGAGCGGGGGTCAACTACTAAGCCACGCCAACCCCCGCTATTTAAGACCTGACTTCGTGGTGATCTCTCTCTTTCTACCCACACCAACCAGCCAGCAACACCTCCTCCGCCGCTGCCTGGAGGCCCTCGCTCCTCCTCCGCCTGCCTGGCGGTCCTCGCTCCCGCCGGCGAGCATGGCGACCCACAAGCTGTCCTTCTCTGAGCATCCTCACCAACCAGCTCTCTCTACATCACGCTTGTAACCATGCTGCCTTCCCAGCACCAAGCTGCATTGTACATCCAATACAACATGTATATAGAGAGCACATTGTGAGTTTCCTTTCTCCACCCCATCCTGAGTGTGAACCAAACATCCTGAACCCCACAGTACCATAAGTCCGTAACCTGCGAGGCTGCGACCTATCCGTCGTAGCATAATATACAAGCGTGTTAGCGTGCTTCTCTAGTTAAATATTATTTGCGTCATTATTACAATGAATTATAAATTATGATAACTTCAGTCATTTGCAAATACAGTACTTACTGATCAGTGATCCCTGATCACAGATAAACAATTGCGGAATATGCGTGTAGGTTACCCTATCACTGGTGACTTGGTGAGATGCAACTGACACTCGGTTTCTTATTTTAATGCAATTCTTGTACCTTATTTCATTAATATAGATAATTTTTTAACTATAAGAGTATGGAGTAATATTACAATCAGTCAATCATTCAGTTCAAGTCAATCAAGTGGCTGTAGCTGAGCTGAGCTGTACAGTATAAGGTAAATCAGTACGGTCCATCAATTATATCATTACAAAATGTAGGCCTAAAGCATTCTCATGACATATTAATTATATATTCTTATGACATAATATGTCATAAGAATGCTTTAGGCCTACATTTTGCAATAATATAACTGATGGACTGTCCTTATACTGTACAGCTCAGCTCAACTACAGCCACTTGAACTGAATGATTGAGATTGACTGAATGTAATATTACTCCTATAGTTAAAAAATTACTCGCATGTTCTCTCTAAACACACCTCACTTAGCAAGTAGAAAAACCCACAGTGGCACTGTGGCAGACGAAATATTTCTTCTGGGTAGTTTCGGCGACAAAATCGACAATTACTATCAGTCTGTCACCCTCCTCAGTGGAAATACATAGTGGTAATGTTCATCAACGACAAGGCAGTTTGTTTATATACACCGTGATGTGACCCCACCCCGCATATCTGTACCCTCCCAATTCCTGCCCTCCGGGCCTCACCTCACCTCAGTGACCTCACCTCACCCATGCCTGCATCTGGCGTGCTGCGCGGCGCACCCATTGCCTGAGTCACTTGACTCACTTCCTGGTTTTGGGAATGTTTTTGGAATTACAATTTTGAGAATAAAAAGTGGAGGGGCCAACCCAGGGGCCAGCCCAAAATCTGGGGGGGCCATGGCCCCCCCGTAGAATCGCCCCTGCATCCAACCTATGTCTGAAGTTGCTTTTCACGGCACATTTTTTCACTTACGAAACGTCCATGACTTAGGCCATAAAAAAACACCCTTAAAACTTATTTGAACGTGGCATTTGGGGTCTGAAGAAGCCTTCCTTTCTACTACAGTACCTACTGCTGCAGCGACGAGTTTGAAATTAGTGACTTCATTGCAAATGGCGGCCCTGTTTCTAGACAAATTCATATCGACTATTATAGCAGGACTTTAAACTTTTAATACAAATCATATATACCGATATTACTCTACGAACGTGGCAGAGTGTAGTTCTTGTGTTTACCCAGAACCTTCCACTCGTCCATTACGTAGTTAGTGTTTGGGGGGAGGAGGGTGATGAAGGAGGGTGTTTGGGGAGGAGGTGGTGGGGGAGTGTTGGGGAGGAGGGTGGTGGGGACTGTTTGGGGATGTGAATTCTCAGGGCTTTTCTGGTTTCCTTATCATTTTAGGCGTCCCGCGCGAATCGCGTAGATCCGTTGAGAAACATGGGGGGGGGAGGGGGGGTATGACCATGACGAGAGAAATGTTTGACAATAATAACAATAATTGACCCTCTAGGAGTCTAGGGTCTACGGGTCAGTGTGTGTGCGAGTGTTCCCCAGGAGGTCAGGGCTGTAGGGCATGTGTGTGTGTGTGTACCCTGGGAGGTCAGGGCTGTAGGGTGTGTGTGTGTGTGTGTGTGTCCCCCAGGGGGTCAGGGCTGTGGGGCATGTGTGTATCCCCCAGGAGGTCAGAGCTGTAGAACACGTCGTGTGTGTGTGTGTGTGTGTGTGTGTGTCCCCCAGGGAAGTCAGGGCTGTGGGGCATGTGTGTCCCCCAGGAGGTCAGGGCTGTAGAGCATGTGCTTGTCCTCAAGGATGGCACGGTGCTGCTGTCAACGACCAGATATGGCATGGTAAATACAATAAAATTACTTAACCAATATTGTATTTTTCATGGTAAGAAAATTAACATATGTAAGACAAAGTTTTTCGCGATACTGTCAATGGCAGTAAGGCTGATAAACAAGCATTGGTTGTTGATGGTGGAACCGTGTGACCAGTACATGTATTTGGGCAGCCCATTTACTTCTGACGAGACAATATCAACAGCAATTAAAGTTCATGTACATGCTAAGATGTGTCATACACTTAAGTTTGTTGCATTTGTAAACAAGAAATACGTTATTTCATGCAGCATTGATGTCCGCCTTGTTACATGGTTGTGAATCATGGTTAAATGGTGACATTACGCCTGTGAATAAACTTTATATGTGGTGTATTAAACAGTTATTGGGTGTCAGGGAAACGGCCAACAATGATTTATGCATGGTGGAAGTTGGTTATACTCCGTTACGTGCCCCCATAATAGCTAAGCAGCGTAAATTTTTCTCGAGGATATGGACGGGAAGAAGTGAAATGGTAGACGATCCACTTGCCCATACTATTAATGTTGTATTAATACGCCCACGTCAGGATATGAACGCGATCTTTTATTTAATGGTATTGATGATGTTCAAATAGCCTTACACACTCTGAAACAGAAACTGTCAAACTCAGACGCAAGTAGAGTACAATTATACAAGACTATCAATCCAAATTTTGATGATCATGCAATCTATAATACAAAGATAAAGGTGAATGAGCTAGAACGAGTATCGTGGACACGAATGAGAGTTAGTGCCCATTTCCTCACTGTAGAGGAGGGGCGCTGGAACAGAAGAGGCAGGGGCCGTCTGCCTATTGAAGAGAGACTGTGTTCATGTTGTTGAAGAGTGCCCCGAACAATAGATATACACCATCAATATAGTATTTCAACTTTTGTAAATTTGCTATCTGAAAGAACGGATTATGAAACTGTTTGTCGTGCAGTTCATCGAATACTTCCTGTATATAGTTACAAGTCACAGGGACACACCATTATCCACAATTATTTTGTATGTTTTAATCTATTTTACTTGTAGTTTTTTGTTTTTTTTTACTTTATTTACTCCTGGTTTTCCTCTGTGTTTTGTGTTACTGGTTGAATCAGTGAACTTTTATTAATGTTTGGTGTTTTAAAGCATTTGCATTTGGACCATTTTATGTAAAATTTTAGTGTAAACTTTGTATTCATAGTTTGTGGTCAATAAAATATCTATCTATCTGTGTGTCCCCCAGGGGGTCGGGGCTGTAGGGCATGTGTGTGTTCACCAGGAGGTCAGGGCTATAGGGCATGTGTGTGTATCCCCCTGGAGGTCAGGGCTGGAGGGCATGTGTGTGTGTCCCAAGGAGGCCAGGGCTGTAAGGCATGTATGTCCTCTTTGGGACCCTCCCAGGGGCGGCGGCGCCCCCAGAAATCCTCTCAGGGGCGGTGGCGCCCCCAAGCACACTTCCAAAGGCGGCGGGGCCGCCAGGGACCCTCTCAGGGGCGGCGACTCCCCAGGGCCCGTCTCAAAGGCGGCGGCGCCCCCCAGGGACCCTCACCGTGACCTTTCCAGGGGCGAAAGCAAAACCAGGGGCGGGGGCGGCCCCAGGAACCCTCCCAAGAGTGGCGAAACCCCCAGGGCACCGCCCCTAGCGACTCTCACAGTGACCCTTCCAGGGGCGACGGCAAAACCAGGAAGGGAGGCGCCCTCCAGAAACCCCCACAGACAGGGGCATCTCCAGGGGTCTTCCCAGGGTCGACGGCAAAACCAAGTGCGGTAGCGCCCCCAGGGGTCATGTCCCGGGTGCTGGCACCCACAGGGCTTATCCCAGGGACGGCAGTAATCCCAGGGACCCTGCCAGGGACGGCGGCGCCCCCAGGAGCCCTCGCAAGGACGGCTACGCCCCAAGGGGCCTTGCCATGGCTGGAGGCGCCCCCAGGGCTCTCCCAGTGGCCCTGCCAGGGACACTGGCTTTCCCAGGGGTCCTGTCAGGGGCACTAGCGTTCCGAGGGGTCCTGTCAGGGGCGCTGGCGCCCCCACGGACTCTCCCAGGGACAGTGACGCTCCCAGGGACGGCAACGCCCCCACGGGCCCTACTATGGGCGCTGGCGCCCCCATGGGTTCTCCCAGGAACGGCGGCGCCCCAAGGCTCTCCGATGGACAACGGTGATCCCAGGGGCCCTCCCAGGGACAGCGGGTCTCCCAGAGGTCCTCCCAGGGACGACAGTGCCCCCAGGGGCCGTCCCAGGGACGGCGGCGCTCCCAATGGTCCTGTCAGGGACGCTGACGTCCCCAGGGGCTCTTGGAGGGACGCCAGCGCCCTGACGGACTCTTCCAGGGACAGCGGAGCTCCCAGAGGCCCTCCTAAGGACGGCGGCACTATTCTTTTAACCCAAGAAATTACAGCCAATAGGAGAAGAGAGCAGAGAGTCAGCAAAATACCACAACTTATGTTTGTCTGTTGGATGCGATGATACTGGAATGTGATGGGCGGTGTGTTTACAGTATTTAACGTTGCATCTCCCAGAGTTCTAAATAGCGTAAAAGGTACTGCAAATAGGGACCCTACAGGTCTAGCGCTCCCATGGGCCCTCCCAGGGCGGCGGCGCCACCAGGGACCCTTCCAGTGGCGGCGGCGTCGCCAGGCAACCTCCCAGGTGCGGTTGCGCCCCCAGGGGCAGTCCCAGGGTAGGAAGCGCCCCCAGGGAATCTCCCAAAGACAGTGGCACCCCCAGGGACTCTCTCAGGCGCGGTGACGCCCCGAAGAGCCCTGCCAGGGGCTCTTAGAGACGGCAACGCCCCTAGGGGCCCTGCCAGGGGCTCTTAGGGACGGCAGTGCTCCTAGAGGCCCTGCTAGGGGCGGTAGCGACCCCAGGAGACCTGCCAGGAGCGCTGGTGCCCCTAGGGGACCTGCGAAGGACAGCGGAGCTTCCAGGGGCCCTGCCTGGGGGTAGTGACGACCACAGGGGCCCTGCAAGGGGCGCTGTTGCCACCAGGGGCTTTCCCAGGGATAACTGCGCCCAAAAAATTCCTCCCAGGGACGGCGGCGCCCTCAGGTGTCCTGTCAGGGACGGTGGCTACCCTAGGGGCCCTGCCAGGGACGGTGGCGCCACCAAAAGCTCTTCCAGGGAGAACTGCGCCCCAAAAAGTCCACCCAAGAACGATGGCTCCCCCAGGTGCCCTGTCAGGGACGGTGGCGCCCCCAGGGGTTCTGCCATGGGCGGATGCGTCCCCAAGGACCAGTTATGGGCGTTGGTGCACCCAGGTACACTACCAATCTCTGTCCGGCGGCGCCCCCAGGTGTTCTCCCAGGGGCCCTCTCAATGACGGTGACGCCCCCAGGGGCCCCAGGCGTTGGTGCCCCCAGGCTTCTCCCAAGAACGGTGACGCCCCCAGGTGCTCTCCTAGGGACAACGGCGCCCACAGGTGCCTTCCCAGGGATGTCGGCGCCTCCAGGGGCCCCTCAGGGCCTTACCAGGGACGAAGAAGCCCTCAGGGTCCCTGTCAGGGGCGGCGCGCAGCCAGGGGCCTTCCCAGAGACAAAGGCTCCACCAGTGGCCCTGCCAGGGGTAGTGGCAACCCCAGGCCCGGCTATGGGCGTTGGTGCCCAGGTACACTACCAGGGGCTCTATCAGGGACGCTGGCGCTCCCAGGCACCTCCGGGGACCTACAAAGGGCGGAGGGACCCCCAGAGGCCCTGTCAGGGCAGTGGCGTCTCCAGGAATCCTTCCAGGGGCGGTGGCGCCCCCAGGGTCTCTCCCAGGGGTGCTGGCGCCACCAGGGGCTCTCCCAGAGACATCTTCGCCCCCAAAGGCCCTACAAGGGACGGCGGCACCACCAGGTACCCTGTCAGAGGCGGTGGCGCCCTCAGGGGCCCTGCCAGGGAACCTGCTAGGGGAGGTGGCGCCCCCAGGGCTCCTGCAGAGGGCGGTGGGTCTTCCAGAGGACCTGTCAGGGTGGTGGCGCCCACAGGGACCCTGGCAAGGGCGGTGGGTCCGCCATCTAACTACTACTAGAGGCTCTCTTTGGGACGCCGACGACCCCAGGGACGCTCCCAGGGGACCTGCTAGGGGAGGTGGTGCCCCCAGGGCCCTAAAGAGGGCGATGGGTCTCCCAGAGGACCTGTCAGGGCGGTCGCGTCCCCAAGGATCCTTCCAGGGGCGGTGGCGCCCCAAGGGTCTCTCCCAGGAACGGCGACGCCGCCAGGTGCTCTCCCAGGGACAAAGGCACCCCCAGGGGCTCTCTCAGTGACGGTGACGCCCCCAGGGGTCCTGCCGCTGGCGTTGGCGCCTCCAGGGGCTTTCCCAGGGACGGTGACGCCCCCAGGTGCTCTCCTAGAGACAACGGCGCCCTCAGGGGCCCTCCCATGGACAGCCGCACTCCAAGGTACTCCCATGGTTGCTAGCACCCCAAGGGAGTTTCTCAGGGGCCCTAACAGCGACCGTGGAGCCCCCAAGGGGCCCTGCCAAGGACAACAGAGCTCCCAGGGGTCCAGCCAGGCCGGTGATGTCCCCAGGTGCCCCGCCAGTGGAGGTTGCGCCCCTAGGGGTCGCTGGCTTCCCCAAGGGCTCTCCCAGGGACGGCGGCGCTCCCAAGTCCTCTCCCAGGTGCGGTGGCGCCCCCAGTCGATCTCCCAGGCCCTGCCAGGGACAACAGAGCTCCCATGGGCCGTGCCAGAGCGGTGACACCCAGAGGGACACTGCCAGGGTTGGTGGCGCCCCTGAGGGCTCTCCCAGGAACAACAGCGCTTCCAAGGGCCCTCCCGGGGACAGCGGCGCCCTCCGGGGCCCTGCCAGGATTGCTGGCATCCCCAGATGCTCTTCCAGAGACGGCGGCGCCCCAAGGAACTCTCCCAGGGACAGTAGCAGTCCTATAGGCCCGCAATAGGAGACGAGAGCAAAGAGTCAGCAAAATACCACAACTTATGTTAGTCTGTTGGATGCGATGATACTGGAATGTGATGGGCGGTGTGTTTACAGTATTTAACGTTGCATCTCCCAGAGTTCTAAATAGCGCAAAAAGTACTGCAAATAGGGGCCCTACAGGTCTAACGCTCCCAGGGGCCCTCCCAGGGCGGCGGCGCCACCAGGGACCCTTGCCAAGAGCGGTGGGTCCCGCGGGGGCCCTGTCAGGGCGGTGGCGTCCCCCAGGGTCTTTCCCAGGGGAGCTGACGCCCTCGGGGGATCTCACAGGGACAGCGGCAACCCCCAGGTGGTTTGTAATGGGTGGTGTCGCACCCAGGGGCCCTCCCAATGATGGCTGCACCCCCGGGGGCCCTGCCAGGGACTCTGGGGCCCACAGGGACTCTCCCAGGTTCTCTTGCGCCCCTAGCGGCTCCGCCAAAGGCTCACTCAGGGACGACAGCGCCTACACGGGTCTCTCAAGGGGACGGCGGCGCCCCCAAGGGCAATGTTAGGGGCGGTAGCGCCCCCATGGGACCTGCCAGGAGCGCTAGTACCCCCAGGGGACCTGCTAGGCACAGCAGAGCTAACAGGGGCCCTAATTGGTGAAATGACGACCTCAGGGGGAATGCTAGGGGCGCTGGTGCCACCAAGGGTTCTCTCAGGGACATCTGCGCCCAAAAAATCCATCCCAGGGACGGTGACGCCCCCAGGTGCTCTCCTAGGGACAACGGCGCCCACAGGTGCCCTCCCAGAGATGTCGGCGCCTTCAGGGGCCCTCCCAAGGTTGCTGGTGCCCTCAGGGGCCCTGCCAGGGACAGGGACAGCATCGCCCCCAGGGAAAGGCTATGGGCGTTGGTGCACCCCAGGTACACTACCAAGGGCTCACTCAGGGACGCCAGCGCGCCCAGGGGTCCTGCTGGGGGTGGTGGCGCCCCTAGGAGCCCTGCCAAGAGCAGTGGGTCCCACGGGGGCCCTGTCGGGGCGGTGGAGTTCTCCAGGGACTTTCCCAGGGGAGCTGGCGCCCTCAGGGGATCTCACGGGGACAGTGGCAGCACCCCAGGTGGTTTGTCATGGGTGGTGGCGCACCCAGGGGCCCTCCCAATGGTGGCAGCACCCCCGGAGGCCCTGCCAGGGACTCTGGCTCCCCAAGGGACTCTCCCAGGTTCTCTTGCGCCCCTAGCGGCTCCGCCAGGTGCTCACTCAGGGACGACAGCGCCTACACGGGTCTCTCAAGGGGACGGCTGCGCCCCCAAGGGCAATGTTAGGGGCGGTAACGCCCCCAGGGGACCTGCCAGGAGCGCTAGTACCCCTAGGGGGCCTGCTAGGCACAGCAGAGCTAACAGGGGCCCTGATTGGTGTAATAACGACCTCAGGGGCACTGCTAGAGGCGCTGGTGCCACCAGGGGTTCTCCCTTGGACAACTGCGCCCAAAAAATCCATCCCAGGGGTGGTGGCGCCCCCAGGGTGCCTACCAAAGATATCGTCTCTCCCAGGGCCCTAGCCAGGAAAGTGACGTCCCCAGGGACCTTGTCAGGGGCTGTAGCGTCCCCAGGAACCCTGCCAAGGGTGATCGCGCCCTCAGGTGCTCTCCCAGGGCATTGCCAGAGGCCGTGGCGCCCACAGGGCCCCCGCCAGGGACAGCAGAGCTTCAACGGGCCCTGTAAGACGTAGTGACGCCCTCATGGGCCCTGCCAGAGGCGCTGGCACCACAAGAGGATCTCCCATGGACAGAGGTGCTCACAGGGTCCCTGACAATGACTGCGGCGCCCCCAGGG